AAAATTAGCCCAGTGTGGTGGTGCATGCCTGTAATCCAGCTACTGGGAGGCTGAGGCAGGAGAACCACTGAACCCAGGAGGTAGAGGTTGTCGGCGAGCCCGAAGATCAGCGCCATGAAGCTCCAGCCTAGGATCAAGAGTGAGACTCCGTCTCAAAAAAAACCACACTCACACACAACAAACAAACAAATAATAATAATAAAATAAATAATAATAATATGCAAATATAATTTAACTATAAATATGCAGCTTTCATCTAGGACCTTTAACAACACAGTCAAATTTCCTAGTAACACACAGTAACAAGAGCAAAGGCCAATTCATTCACAGAAAAACCAAGGCTCAGTGGTGGGATCAGTCAACAATAGCATTTGTGAAGAATGTTGAAGAGTTTGTGCTCTGTTGAAGCAATTACCAACTCAGGAAACATTTTACCTTATACACAACTATAAGGAGAGGATATTGTGGGGGGGGCCTCTGAGGTTCATTCTTTTCCAGCAGTTGTCTGATAAATTTTTCAATTGCCTTCTCTGACATGCCACACTGATGGCCTGTCTGTCTCACCAAATCAACAGTCTCTGAAAGTTTGTCATAAATGCTGACCTCGTTGGCAGCAAGATCCATGTCTTCCAATATAAAATCCCTGAGAGAGACGGAGAGAAAATAAATGTAAAAAGAAAGGTGGTTTATTTAGGTACTTCCTCTTCAAAGCTACTTGACCATCTGTAGAGAAGGACCTGTTTTGTGTTTTCTGCAATCCTCTACAGACCAATACTTTTATAAAACACAATGAATACGTAGAGACAATGTCAAATTGCCAAACAAGTTTTAAAATACTAGTTAACTGTGGGCCAGGAACAGTTTACAGACCTGCACTAGTTCCCAAACACTGAGGAGCACTGGTCTAGAGCACAATATATCCTAATGGGACTCTGAAGCACTAACGACATCCAAAAAAGATTTCTGACACCAATGATGGGAGATCTGCTACTGGTGATTTCCTAAAATAAAAAAAATGGATTATGCATAGTGTTGTTGATCAATTATTTCTTTCCAATTATACCAGATAGACTTTTAGCAACACAAGAGGAAGAACTGATCACTGAAGATTACTGAAGGTGACTGCAGAGCAAAGATTTCAGACGACACAAAAACCATGGCATGCGGCTTGCAGTCCTCACACTTTTCTACTTTTTTTTTTTAATTTCTTCTAGAGCAAACAGAGTCCTCATGCTTTTCTACAAATACAATTTTAGAAAATAAAGGGCATATTTTATTTGTATTTTATATACTTAAAAGACTTAAGATTTTTAACTAATTTAAAAATTCAATTTGTGTTCTTATAGTTATTTTAAAGCCAGATTGTTTCATCATGTCCAGAGAACAAAAGGTAAAAACTAATGGGGCAAAGTAGAGTTCTCTCTGTATCATTTGTAAAATGAAATTAAATAGTTCCAAGGCTGGGCGCAATAGCTCATGTCTGTAATCCCAGCACTTTGGGAGGCCAGGGCAGGAGGATCGTTTGAGACCTGAAGTTGAAGACCAGCCTGGGCAATATAATGAGACTTCGCCTCTACAAAAAAAGAAAAGAGGCCAGGCGCGGTGGCTCATGCCTATAATCCCAGCACTTTGGGAGGCCGAGGCAGGCGGATCACCTGAGGTCAGGAGTTTAAGACCAGCCTGACCAACATGGAGAAACCCTGTCTCTACTAAAAATACTAAATTAGCTGGGTGTGGTAGCGGGTGCCTGTAATCCCAGCTACTCGGGAGGCTGAGGCAGGAGAATCTCTTGAACTCGGGAGGTGGAGGTTGCGGTGAGCCGAGATCACGCCATTGCACTCCAGTGTGGGCAACAAGAGTGAAACTCCATCTCAAAAAAAAAAAAAAAAAGAAAAGAAAAACAAATTTTAAAAATCAGCTTTGCCTGGTGGCACACACCTGTAGTCCCAGCCACTTGGGAGGCTGGGGTGGGAGGATTGCTTGAGCCTAGGAGTTCGAGGCTGCAGTGAGCTATGATCATACTACTGCACTCCAGCCTGGGAGACAGAATGAGATCCCATCTCTGGAGAAATAATATAAGATAAAATAATTAAACAGCTATTTTAAAAAGTGTTTATGTTACAGAACAATAATATTTTTCTTCATTTACAGGAGGAAGAAGAGTGCTTCTTTGGGTTTGTGCTCTCTTCTACTGGGCTTTATGTATTTATTTATTTTTAATACAGAGGGTCCTTTTATATCACATACTTCATTCCTACAGTGCTTCTAGCCTCAAAAAGTACTGGCATAGTACATGTGTATTCTCTCAGTAAGGAGATGCTGCCACCTGTAGGGTGGAGGACATAGTCACGTTGTTACAATACAACCCAGCACACACCAGCACATCTCTTCCAGCAGTGTGCCTCCCAATCACTCCTGTCTGGTCCTCTTTATGACTATTAAGTGTTTAGTTCATTAGGTCTTAACCTGGCTTGCACATGAGAATCACCTAGAAAGCATTTCATAAATGCTCATACCTGGGCATCAACTCAGACCAATTAAATCAGAATCAGAAGACTTCTAACGGTGGATTAAAAGGCATGCAATCTAGACTTTGAGGAACTGGGGGAATGAGAGAAGAGCCCACCACACTATACCCCCCACATTCAGATAAAAAGCTAGTACAAACTACAGTTGAGACTTCAACAACATGGGTTTGAACTATGTGGGTACACTTAAAAGCTGTTTTTTTCCTACCAACCCAGGATTGAAAATACACCATTTTCAGGATGCAAAAACTGCGTATACATATACAGAGGGAAGACTGTTTGTATAAACAGGTTCTGCAGAATTGATTGTGAAACTTGAATATGCAAGGATTTGGTGTATGTGGAGATCCTGTAACAAATATCCCACATATACCAAGGGACAGCTATATATTTTTTAATGTATTATTTTCAATACATGATGCTAGGCCCACTGGATATCCGCACATGAAAAAATGAAGTTGGACCTTTCTTTTCTTTTCTTTTCTTTTTTTTTTTTGAGACAGAGTCTTGCTCTGGTCACCCAGGCTGGAGTGCAGTGACGCGATCTTTGCTCACTGCCACTTCTGCCTCCCGGGTTCAAGTGATTCTCCTGCCTCAGCCTCCCAAGTAGCTGGGATTACAGGTACCCGCCACCAGGCCTGGCAAATTTTTTTGTATTTTTAGTAGAGGAGGGGTTTCACCATGTTGGCCAGGCTGGTATTGAACTCCTGACCTCAGGCAATCCACCCACCTCAGCCTCCCAAAGTCCCGGGATTACAGGTGTGAGCCACCATGCCCAGCCCTTTCTTTATACTATACATAAAAATTAACTCAAAATGGATCAACTACCTAAATTTATAAGCTAAAACGATAAAACTTCAAAGAAAACACAGAGAGGGAGGCTTCATGATTCTAGGATTCAGCAATGGTTTCTTAGATATGACACCAAAAGAACAAGCAACAAAAGAAAAAATAAATTGGACTTCATCAAAATTAAAAACTTTTTGTAGAAGACAAGGGAAGGGGAAAAACTTTAAAAATTCTGTGTCTCAATACCATCAAGAAAGTAAAATGACAACCCACAGAATGGGAGAAAAATTTTGCAAATTATGTATCTGATAAGGGGGTGGTCTATATAGAATACATCAAGAATTATTACAAATCAGTAATAAAAAGACAACCAAATAAAAAAATAGACAAAGGATTTGAATAGCCATTTCTCCAGAAAAGATACAGAAATGGGCTGGGCGCAGTGGCTCACATGTGTAATCCCAGCGCTTTGGGAGGCCAAAGTGGCAGGATCACTTGAGGTCAGGAGTTTGAGACCAGCCTGGTCAACATGGTGAAACCCTGTCTCTACTAAAAACACAAAAATTAGCTGGGTGTGGTGGCAGGCACCTGTAATCCCAGCTACTTTGGAGGCTAAGGCAGAAGAATCACTTGAATCTGGGAGGCAGAGGTTGCAATAAGCCGAGATTATACCACTGCACTCCAGCCTGGGTGACAGAGTGAGACTCCATCTCAAAAAAAGATATACAAATGACCAATAAACACACAAAAAGATACTCAACATTATTAACCATCAGAGAAATGCAGATCAAAATCACAATGAGATACCATTTCACATCCACTGCGATAGCTACAATCAAGAAGTCAGACAAAAAGTGTTGGTAAGGACATGGAGGAATTGAAACTCTTGTAGACTGCCAGTAGGAACATAAAATGGTACAGCCACTATGGAAAACAGTCTGGCAGTTCCACAAAAAGTTAGGCACAGCTACCATATGACCCAGCAGTTCCACCCCTAGGTATGTACCTAAGAGAACTGAAAACATATGTCCACACAAAAACTTGTGCACAAACGTGAATAACACTATTCATAACAGCCCCCAAATGGAAGCAATCCAAATGTCCATGAACTGATGAAAGGATAATCACAATGTGGTAGATCCATATAATGCAAAATCACTGGACGATAAAAATGAATGCAGTACTGATACATGATACAATATGGATGAACCTTGAAAACACTGTGCTAGGTGAAAGAAGACAGTCACAAAAAACTACAGATTATATAGTTGCATTTAGATGAGAAGTCAGGAATAGACACGTCTTTTTTTTCTTAATACCTTTTTAACAAACCTGCAAGGAACAGGCAAATCTATAGAGATATAAAGTAGATTTCCAGATGGGAAGTGACTTATCTGAGACCACCCAGTCAGTTGTCACCTGAGCCTCATCTGGACCTCACATTCTTTTCACTAAGCCATTTTTGATTAGCAGCCAGGAGGATGGATTAGAAAGCATTAAGAGCCATACTAACAATAACACCAAAAAACCCCCAGAAATTAAGATGCAGCATTTCCAATTAAAAATAAGTCAGGAGTAGACGATCTCTGGAAAATGAGATCACCGCTGATTTTTATTTTCTTTGTGATTTTCACATTTCTCAAACTTTTCCTGCATCAATTTTGTAATCACAAAATTCTCATAGTCACTTCTAAGGAACATCATTGGGCACAAAATGAGTCAGAGATGTACAGCAATGCATGACCGTGGCACCACAGGGAAGAAGCAAGGCATGATTTGCCATGCCAATGACTTTTTGGTTCTCCATAGAGTTGTATTCAAATATTACAGCTGGAAAAATGAAACAGCACTGAACTTGGAGACAAGCTTTGCCAATTGCTAGTGAGATGATTTCAGTTAAATTACTTGGTCTATTTCTGCATCCAAAAAATAAGAGGATTGGATCACAAATTTAGAGTCTCACTCTAAAATTCTAAGAATCTATGAACACTTCAGGAAGGAGAAAAATTCAATTCATTAGAAACTAAAGACTCATGTTCAATTGCATTCCTATTCCTATTCCCACCCTATATGCCAGGTGCTTTGCTAAACACTCTAGAAACATTATCTCAGTGAAACCACTGCGATCCCACAAGGTAGCTGTGATCGATTCCATTTCATACATGTTCAAGGCTCGGAAAGGTTTCATAACTTGCCAGGATATAAACCCAAGTGTCCTGAATTCAGGGTTGGTGCATGCTGCCTCCCTTACCAAGTATTTTCCTATTCTGAGCTGGCAGTTCGGAAACCATGTGTCTCTTGATCACAACTGAGCGGCTGAGAACTG